GAGTTGCTTGTTTGGTCTAGAGTGCTTTTCCTTATTTGAGACTTAGTATATTATATCTTAAAATGACTTTGCCTTTTTCTTAAAATTCTTAGTGATTTTTCCTAATTGCCTATGATTTATCTAGTTTTGGTCTTACATATACTGTCTATGTTTTGAACACGTGATACATAATTTATCTGTAGCGTGTTTTGTTTACCTTTTTTTACGTGTTTGTGCTATGTGAAATGATCTGTGTTTTAGGGTTTGTTTGATTTCCCAAAATAATTTTCTAAAAGTTTTCGTATTTTGTTTAAAGCCCAAACTTCTTCTATAATATTTAATTTTCTTTAGATTTTTTCTGTTCTTTTTTTTTTTGCTTCAGTATATGTATTTCTTTCTTTTCTTCCTTTTTATTTAAGAAGTCTTATGCTTGTTCTTAGTAAAATCTTTGAGTTAACTTAATTTTTCTTTCTGCTCCAAAATTGGTTAGAGTAATCGATGAAGAGAGTTCGAAAAATTTTTTTGGATATATACATGAGTAATTCTTTATAGTTTGTAATTATATAAAGAGTATATAACAAGTTATATATACAATTTTTTTTTTTTTTTTTTTTATACAATATATTATTAGTAAGATTTTTATTAGTATAGATAGTGAGAAATGATTATATATATGAGAGTACTACTAGCTATACATATAATTTTAGATTGTCTAATTTAAGTAGTCTGCTCAAAAGTTCTATACTAACTACTATATCTGAAATTTATTTGAAAATTTCCTATTTAAACTTTCTAGCTATATGCTATTCCTGTTTTACTAGCTTTTATTATCTAAATTTATCTAACTTTGTACTACTTTTTTTTTTAGAAGATATCAACAGAGCTAACATGTATCTACAAACTTTATAATTTGAAACCTAAGCCTATCTTAGATACTCTTTTACTAATTTCTTAATTGATAGGTACTATAGTACCAAACTATACTATATTATATCCTAATCTAGCTTGTATATATTCTTGTTTAATATTTATTCAAACTCAGTTTCTACTATAGCTTTCTACTGAGTTAGTCATCTGTGCTTCCAGATATTATATGAGATAAACCTTCTCAAATCTAGTTAATCTAAGTTAGTGTTGCTAAAAATTATCTATGCTTCTAGATATTATACAAAACAGATTCTCTCAAATTCAGTTAGCTGCTAAGTCAAGTTGGTATTGCCATATGATCTCATATAATAGACTTATATAAATCTATTTTGCTAATCTTTTCATATGTAAATTTTCTAATAAACTTATTCATATTCTATTCACTAATCTTTTCATATACAGATTTCTTTTCTTAGATCAAATATTAACTAGTATAACTATTAAAATTTATATTATTTTATCTAACTTAGGATTTCTACTATGTAGGTTCCTTACTCATAGATTCTATTAAAATTTATTCATATAACTCTGTTATATGATTACAATTGATATAGTCTTCTTAGTATATTACAAGTAACATAAAATATAGAAGAGAAACTCTCAATAGTGTCAAAGCAAGATATTACTTTGCAAAAGCAATTCATTAGAAAAATTATATTAAAGCAAAGAATATTTTTTATTTATGATATAATATTAATAATACAAGACTATCTATTAGTATCTGTGCTAAGAGAATTCTAATATTAAAGAGATTATAGAAGACAAACCTAACTTTAACAGAAGGAGGAAAAGACAGAGTTTTTATATCTTTTTCTAAATATTCTCAAATATAGTTAAATGTCTTCAAACATAGTTAAATGTTATTAAATATTATCAAATATTATCAAATATAGTTAAACATCTTCAAGTGTAGTTAAGTGTAATTAAATATTAATAGGAATTTCTAAACGCTAATTACTCAATAACTATTAATCTAATTTTTACAAATTATAACTCATTATGATCACGAGACTATTTTTATTCTAATAATACTATCTAAAAATATTGCTAACTTATAAGATAATTTATAAAATACAAATAAAGAATAACTAATTAATAATTATAAAATAAAGATAAAAGTATTAAAACTCATTTGATAATATTTCCATTCTATTTATTATAATAATATATAAAAAAAAAGTTTCATAAGTTTACAAATTTTGACCCGGCCGGGTTATGTAAACCAAAAAATTTTTTTTGTTTGGCCTAATTTAGAATTCTAAGGAATATTTATTGTATATACAATGCGAATTATTAAAAACAGCAAAATATGTATTATCGTTATTATATTTTATATTGTCCAATGATTGCTTCTATAATTCTTTCTTGAAGTATCCACTAATCTTTTGTACCAAATAAATTTAAAAGTTAACAATTAGAAATTTTGAAACTTGAAAAATTTCATACTCTTCTACAGAGAATCTGTTTTTTGACTTTCCAATAAGACGAATACATTCACAGTCACTTTTAAAATTATTGACCATACGCAAATCTCGAAAACATGGGCCATAATCAACTCTTGATGATCCAACTTTGCTGCGATATTTTGTTATATCAATTACATTTCCTTGATCATCAAGGTCAAAGCTAAAAGTAAAACATTTTTTCGTATAATAACATTTTGAGCCCGTCCAACCGAATGGATTATATCCACCTAAAATTTCATTCTTTCCTTTGACTTTTAAAACAGTTAAAGTTGATACTTTATCATCACATCTTTTATGAAATTCATCTGGTGTAAATCCATCTCGACTTCCCCTAACAAGCAATTCGAATTTGCAATTAAATTTGGCTTTTTTGAGCATTTTTGCCAAAATACTGTAAAGAATTCCACGAGAAACTTGTTCAATCCATTTACAAATTAATTCGAATTGTTCTGTCTTTATTAAACAAGATTTGGAATTACTCTCAGATGTTTCTTGAGTCGTGGGTTGAATTGACAACCTATTTTGCTCTTGCTGGAGAGTTTCACATATTTCCTGGGTATCCTGTTGGTTATTAGGATCTTCGTCCCAACGTTTATATATTTGTTGGAGAGTTTCACATATTACTTGGATGTCCGGTCGTTTATTAGGATCTTCGTCCCAACAACGTTTATATAATTTAACGTACGGCACCGGCGTGTCTTTTACAGGTGTTTCTCTTTCGCCTTGAAATATTTTATAAATTATTTCGGATCCTCCATTATCACGAAATGGTCGGTGACCACTTGATATTTCCCAAAGAAGAACTCCAAAACTATAAATATTGGATTTTTTATTACGTTTAGAATTATTATTTTTAAGATATTGCGGTTCCAAGTAAGCGTAATCCTTAAACTTATTTAAAGGCGTAAAGTCATCTAATTGTTCAGATATGCCAAAACCGGTTATTATAATTCTATTATTATTAACCAAGACTTTTTCATAGTTCTACAAGGAAAATTGAAGTATTGATTATACGTTATTTTTTTATTTTTATTAAAAAAAAAAAAAAAAAACCGTTTATTAATGCTATTTAAATTAATTCTTACGAAATATTTATAAATTATTTTATTGTTTGTATGTAAATGCATAAGGCCTGTTGCAATTTCTAACGCCATACGTAATTTATCCTTCCACGTAAGATTTATAAAATTTCGCTTTAAATATTCTCGTATATTACCGCCATCAGCATATTCCATGATATAATGATATTTATTATTTTTTACAACTCCATAGAATTTACTAATATTAGGATGATGATCTTTTGTAATCTTGTTGAGCAATTGAATCTATAATAACGATAATAAAATTAGATGTTAATAATATGGACTATAAGAAGATAAATTAATATCATTAACATTTATCTCAAACCTCATTAATAGATTCATGGATATCTACATCTAAATCATTCAGAGTAACCATAACTTTGCGACTTTTCCAATATGCTTTTTCACCATCCGATATTTCAAATTCATCACAATTATAAATTTTAATTTGACATTCTTTGATAGTTTCATCAATTGTATATTTTTTTTGAGTAGTTGTACCTTCAACAGAAACATCGCCTTTTTTCAATCTACTTCGGGCTTTTTTGCTATTATTATTTGTATACTCATCTTTGTCATTACAATGTAAGAAGGAAAATTTATATTAGCAAAATTTAATAAATGCCTATAAATTAAGAGCAAACAATTAAATTAACTAACAATGATCTTTAAGATCGTTTCTGATGAACTCAACAGACTTTTCTGTAGATAACCTTTCAAGCTCATGAGAAATTTCTATCAGTTCTGGGCGTTCTGCATGATCAGATGACCAACATCTCTTATAAAGTTTTGCATAATCTGGAGGTGTATTGGCAATAGTTTTTTCTCTTTCACCGTTTATAATTTTTTGAATTATATGCAGTTGAGAAAGGTTACTAAATGGAGGAATTCCACTTGTAAGCTCCCATAATAACATGCCTAAACTATAAATGTCGGTTTTTTCATCATAAACAGCTCCTTTTCCTAGTATATGGCATTGCAGTTCAGTATATGCTATTGATGGAATATTTATACCTGAGCTTGATTCAGAACTATTTAATCGTTTTGATATTCCAAAGTCTGAAATCAATGCTCTACCGCCATTTATTAGAACATTTTTAGAATGCTAGTAGGATTTGACAAATAATTAGAATTATAATTAATAAATTGAAATTTAATGTAAATTAAATTACGGCATACTAGATCTCGATGAATAATGCCATTTTTATGTAGGTATGTTAATCCAAGTGTAATGTCTGTTGTTATTTGTACAAGTTCAGACCATAAAATTTTATAAAGACCCTCGATTTGCTTTCTTCTTAAAAAATCCCGTAAGTTTCCATCATTAGCAAGTTGTAACACTAACATGAAGTTATTCGTCTTTGTATCTAATATTTATATATTATAATATTATTAAAATTTATTATTCGGTTATATAATTTAATTTTATATTAAATATACCTCTCGCGATTCCATAGAAGTTTACAATGTTATCATGATTTTGTTTGACATCATTAAAACATTTATACTATATTATATGCAATTATTAGTTGAAATTATTGAAAGCCGAAAAGCTAAATTGTTGTTAAATATTACCTCACGGATGAATTTTTTCAATGATTTTTCGGGAATATGCAAGTTAGTTCGTAAACTTTTTAATGCATATGTTTCATCTTGAAATTTTGCTGAATACATGATTGCGGATCCACCTTCTCCTATAACTCTAAGCTCAATAAATTTTGAGAAGTCATACTTTTTTATACCACATTCATTCATCAAATATTTTTCTAGTCGTTCTGAATACTCGTGTACTATATTTATAAAAAGTTCATGGCATTAATTTTATTGTTCTGATTAAAATTTAGGATGTTAATCGGTCACGCAGCAATTGTTAGCCCCGAGTTTTATAAAAGTTAGCATTTTTAACTAGTCTTTGGCTAATAAGTAACGTTGTAGAAAAGTTATTTTTCTATAACTATTAATAGAAGTTTGCTAGTTTCGTATTAGTTTTTGAGTATTCAGGCGGGAAGGATCGAACAGTGTGGAGAAAATTTAATCGATCGTCACATTTTTTATTTCTCAAAAACCAATATTAGGAATGTTAACAATCCAGTCTGGTTCAATCTGGTTTATTTTAGTCCAGCTCTGGTCTGGTCTCTAGTCTTAAGACTTTGTTAGTCTAGACTGATCCGGTTTTAAAACTTAGGACAGACCAAATTTTTTCAAAGTCTGAAGACTAACTTTTCAATTAGTCTAAGACAGACCACATGACATTCCTAACTACTGAAAACTGACAAACTTCTATTAGCAATTATTATAGAAAATTAACTTTTTTGTAACTTTACTTATTGGCCAAAGACTAGTTGAAAATGCCAATTTTTTACAAAACTTGCACAAAATGACAATTGCTACGAGACCAATTAACATTCCTGAATTTAGATGTTTTGATATAACTTACATGCCCTATGATCTGAATTACTGCTTTCCTTGTCCATCATACAGTATTATAATATAATTCTAGTCGATGTAGATTTGTACAAATTTTTTTCGATCAAGCTTTAAATACTCTTTTATATAATATAATCGCTTTGTATGATAACTATTATATACTGTACATTTACTAGATACTCGTGATCACCCTATTTCGCTATTTATCGTTAAATGGGCTGCCGTCAATAGAAATAAGGCAAATTAACATTTGAAAAAAAATTAATACCTTAACTTTCACAGCTCGTATCTCGATGAATTTTGAAGCTATCTTAATTATTTAATATATAAAAATAAAGCTTAGTTCTTAAGCTTTCTTTTGAATATTAAATTATTATGATAGCTTTAAAATTCATCGAGATACGAGTTGTGAAAGTCAAGGTATTGATTTTTTTTCAAATGTTAATTTGCCTTATTTCTATTGACAGCAGCCCAAATTGTCGAGACATTATGAGCTTGGAGACGTTTATGCAGGGTCAGTTTCAAAATAGTATATGCTATAGAAATTGTTAAATTAGTTTAGTACGTACGCCATTGTCTGTTTCGTTGCAATTCTCATATGACTAAGGCACAATCTATTCCATTGTTTGCATGGGCGTCATACGTTCTAAAATAAGTAACCGAAATTTATATGTTCTCAAAGAACATTGAGAACAATGAAATTTGCACACTGAGCGTTGGGGTGTTCGATTAGGGTGATCATCATACTAATCAAATCAAACCATAAGTAGGGTTATATCGATATATACTAATTATTAATTAGATATTTTTTATGAAGATCCGAATTTACTGCGGATAATAACAACTTTCGGTACAGTTTTCTTTTGAACTAA